AAATCAAACACTGTCGGATTGTATCAATCAGTCACTCAATTAATCGATCCATCGATCAACCAATCAATCAATCCATCAATCAATCGATCGATGAAGGGGCAAATTGCTACAGCATGTGCATCGCACTTGAATGACAATATCCTTAAGCTGACGTTATTCCAGAATGCCGAAGCCAAAACCATGTCACATCATATTTCGTCGGTTGCCGCCAGTTCTTCATGAAGGCGTTTGGTGCACTACGCATGTACGCATCTGCATCCTCGAAGTCGGATCTCACCAGGGCTACATAAACGCACGTATAAAGTTGCTGAGTCCTGAGCAGAGCAATGGTGGACGCGGGCATTTGCTTCAAGCATGTGCGCAAGCGGCGTAAACAGGGGACGGCTGTATATCCGAGCCCCCTGCTGCAAACATGTAATCGGATTGCCTGGTTCATCGAATACCACTGCAAACGAATCAAGGTACAACCGTATGTACTCATGGACATGGCCCTGACTCTTCAATGCATATAGCATCATAAGGCACTGCGAACGCAAATTCAAATACCAATGTGGAAACGCGGTTGGACAAACGATTGGCCGAGATATGGGACACGTCACGAAAGTGCGTACGTTTGGGCGCACGACAAGAGTCAATGTGTGACCAGCACAACTTCGCACCCGTGAGAAGATCGCACTAATGCTTACACGCGCACTGAGACGCGCGATTGAATACGGGATTGGACGCGCCATTGGACATTTGACGTGCGACTGGACGAACGCTTGGATATACGATTGGCGATCGGTCGCAAGAATGGGCACACGATTCGGCGAACGATTGAACAAGGTACTCGGCACATGATTGGACCAACGGTGGGGGAGCACAGCTGAACGCACGATTGGACAACCGATTTGACTCGTGATTCGAACGATCGGGCACAACATGGATGATCTAGCGTGTATAAGATCGGAGCCGTGATGGATATACACGATTGACACACGATCGGACATACGACGGGCAGTCCATTGAACATACGAGTCGACAATATTGGACGAACGATTGGTCACACAATCGGACAAAATGATTGGTTGCGCGATCGAACATGTGTATGGGCACGCGAGTGACAATTCGCCGGCCCAACGGGCCAGAGGCGTGCTAAGATCTCCGGTAACTGCTTTACAATAACTCTACTTAGCGCGCGGGGCGGCCCCTGGAAGAAAAACACCCAGGCAATCCCCGGGCGCTGCGGGTCAGATGAACAAGAGAGCTCCGAGATGCCACAATATCGGTCCAAGACGCACAAGATGCCCCCCAGACGGCCCAACACGCTTCCCAGAGCACTCTCAAGAGGGCCCCAAGAGGCAAAATTCTGTGATTTTTCCTGTGGTTTTGGAAAGAGTTTGGCGTTTCCACCTTTTCGGCTTCCCCCCACACCCCAAGACGGCCCAAGGGGCCCCCAAGATCCCCCCAAGAGGGCCCCAAGAGAGCTCGAAGACGGCCCAAGAGGGCTCCGAAACGGCCCAAGAGGCTTCCAAGACGGCCCAAGAAGGCCCCAAGAACGCCCCCAGAGAGGTCACAGCGGGGGAACACGAATCAAAATCTCGGCCCTAAGAAAGCCCCAGGAGTCCCCAAGAGACCCCCAAGAGACCCCAAGACGCCCCAAACAGGCCCCCAGGATGCCCAAGGAGGGCCCCAAGTGGCAACATGCATTGCTTTCCCTTAGGTTTGGGAAAGATTTGGGCGTTTCCACCTTTTCGGCTTCCCGACACTCCAAGACGGCCCAAGAGGCCCCCAAGACCCCCCCCAAGAGGGCCCAAGAGGCTCCCAAGAGAGCTCCAAGACGGCCCAAGAGGGCACCGAAACGGCACAAGAGGCCTTCAAAACGGCTCAAGAAGGCCCCAAGAACGCACCATCAGAGGTCCCAGGGGGGGAACACGAATCAACATTTCGAGCTCTCGGCCCTAAAAAGGCCACAGGAGTCCCCAAGAGGCCCCTAAGAGACCCCAAGACACCCCCAACAGGCCCTCGGGCGGCCCTAAGAGGTCCCCAAGCGGCCCCAGGAGGGTCCCAAGAGGCAACGTGTGTCGTTTTGTCTGCGGTTTTGGAAAGATGTTGACGTTTCCAACTTTTCAGCTTCCCCCCACACCCCAAGACGGCCCAAGAGGCCCCCAATACCGCCCCAAGAGGGCCCAGGAGGCCACCAAGAGGGTTCCAAGACGGCACAAGAGGCCTCCACGACGGCCCAAGAAGGCCCCAAGAACGCCCCCAGAGAGGTCCCAGGGGGGGTACACCAAACAACATTTTGAGCCCTCGGCCCTAAGAAGCCCCCAGGAGCCCCCAAGAGGCCCCTAAGATGCCCGAAGAGGCCCCCAACAGGCCCTCAGGAGGCCCCCAAGAGGCCCCCAAGCGGCCCCAGGAGGCCCCCCAAATGCCCCCCCCGCGCACGCAAGCAAGTGCCAACGACCCGACGCGAATAAGAGTCCCCAAGAGGCCACCAAGAGGCCTCCCGAAAAAGTCCCACAGGCAAAACGCTTCCAGACGGCCCGCGACGAGTTCAAGACTCCCCCATCGGCCACCAAGAAGCCTCACATGCCGAACGCAAAGCCTGATAAAAACAGCCGCCGCCCCTGCAGCTCCGCACCGCGAAAGATCACTCAGTCAGTCGACAACGGCGCGCAATATGGGCCAGCGGAATGAGCGAAGCGATTCAATAACATGGGGCACTCGGTTGGGCAAACGATTGGACACAATATTGGACGAGCAATTCGGCGCGACATTGAACATACCAATAGACGGAGCACGATTTGACGCACGCTGTACCAGGACAGCCGCGGCGCACCAGGAGAACCGTGGGACAGACGTTTTCTTAACTGCCTGCGTACAATCCATTTTGTGGTCGCTTGGCGAAGCCCCGACGGGACATAAGAAACTGTTCCTCTCACTTGGCTCCAGGCCACCAATCAGCTCAAGATCCAGGTGCGTCCCGCCAGCCGCCGCCGTGTCCAGACGTGTTGCCGCGAAGCGTGGGGAACTCACGTCTGGACACCGAAGGTGCCCGTAGACGGGAACTTTAAAAAAAAGAAAAAAAATCAGCGTGCCCGTAGACGGGAACGCTGATTCATTACTTGTACAGTGAATGTCTTCCCCTACTTTAGCCCCCAACCGGCGCGCGGCCATAGCAGACCACCATCCCCTCCCCAGCCCCCGACGGTCTGGGCCAGTCAGGGCATCGCGGGCCTGCTGGAGTTGAACATCTCCCTGGAAGCTCCCCAAGACAGCTCCCGAGGACCCAAACGAGCTCCCAGAGGTCTCCAGGATGGCCCAAGATGGCTCAGGAGGCCTTTTCTTCAGAGGAGTGCACTACTCATATGCGTCAAGACGGACTCTGGGAAACAAAAAAACTGAATCCAAGACACCTCCGAGAGCCACAGGTGGCCCCCCCAGACGTTGGCAGGGAATTTCGACATTCGGTCGAAGAGAGCTGAGGTGGTCCAAGACGGTCGCAAAAGGGCTCGAGGAGGACTCCAGCGGTACTCTGGGAGACGAGAAACATGGGACAATTAGACATGTCCGATGATGCCCAGACGCTATGTTTGGAGGGGTCGGCGGATATGGCGTGTAAACCTTTGAATGCTGAGCGGCAGCGTCTTCCGCGAAAGCTAACGTGCAACGTACCCAACATATCCCGTTATTGTACAGTTGCTACTGCTTGTGCTCTGCTACTTACGATTCGGATCTTCGATATACCCCCAATTACCCCCCCCTTTGAGTCGCGTCGCATCCGCCGACCCAAAATGACACCCCGAACGGGCCCGAAACATCTACCAAGACGGATGGAACATCTGTGACATCGGCCTCTGGGGCCTCTTGGGGGACCAATCCACAAGGGCCTCCGAACGGCTCAGCATGGTCGCCAGACAATCCAAGACGGCACCAAGACGGCCCAAGATGGTCTCAGGAGAGCCCCAGAGGCCCACAAGACGGCCCCAGAGGGCTCCAAAGGGGCCCCCAAGAGCACCTCCAGGGGCCAAAAACATAGGCTACCCGATGGGTGTTGCGAGATCTTCGCGTTCTTGCCTTCTTGGGCTCCCGGGGACCCCCGACGGGCCGAGCAGCCTTCAAAATGGTCCCCAAGCGGGCCTCGAGACGGCCCAAGAAGCCCCCAGGATGGCCAAACAAGGTCCCCAAGACGGCTCAAGAGGCCCCCAACACTGCCCAGGATGACCCCTAATAGAGCCACGAGGAGGCCCTGAGAGGCCCCCAAGACGGCCAATGATGCTGATGGTGGTGATGATTGTAACGGATGAGGGGACGTCCAACGTGGGGATTGAGGCGCATGGAGAACTTCGCGCCACACGGAAATTCTATTGGCTGCGGAGGTGGTGCGGACGAAGGTGACCGAGGTTATGGCCATTGGAGCAACGACTGCCAGCTGGACGTGTGCCACGTATTCACTGCGAGGGCTGATGCACTCAACGAAACGGCATGAGATGTGAAAGATCCTGTGCTTTGCCTGCTGCAGCCGTGCTGGTCCTTTGAAACTGGGGCCGTGCGTTCAGCTTGGCTGCGAGAGCCCTTTGCGGCTACAGTGCAGCAATATACCACCAAGGACAGCCGGACATTGCCCACCATCTTTGGTATGATGCCACGCACCACAGAGCTGCCGCACGTTGGCGTTCACTGCTCGACTTGCCAAAAGTGCACCAGCGCGTGGGGGCGCACTCGAGATTTCTCGCGCGCGCGTAGACAGCCAGAAAAGAAGAGACATGGGACGGCTTGAGCAAACAGGGAAAGCCATACCTCATCTCGAGGAATCACTGGGCTCAACATCTGCGGTTGCCCATCTACGAGGAGGGGAGGGGGAACGGGAAGAGAAAGCTTCCCCCCTCCTGCCCCTTCCCGCTCCTCCTCCTCATCCCTCCGTCTCCCGCTCTCCCTTCTCTTCCTTCGCTCACCCTGATCTCTGTGATGGACACCCGAGGGTTGCATTTCTCAAGCAGCGCAGCCACGATCGACGGGCATCACTCCATCTTGATGTCGGCGCAGCCGACCACGTCTTTCAGCTCCTTGCTCGTGAAGGTGGCGACCACCTGCATGTGCCCGTTCGCCCATGTCTTGGTGGCATCCGGCTCCTTCAACGCCACCGCCTCGCTCAGCTCGACCCCGCTGGCAAGATCACCAACCTCTCTCGATTCCAAGAGGACTCCGGCTGCCGCAATCTCCAACCGGCAACCCGTCAAGGTCACGGGCAGCGGGTTCTTCCAGCGAACCGTGACGGGGCCCGAGAACGGCCTCGCTGTCGGCACCGTGATCGCAAGCTCGGGGGCCCCAACAGAATCCACGACCTCGTCCACCCACATGCTAGCATTTTCGACCCCCACGCAGTGCACGATCGCCGAGACTGGAAAATCCGTGTCGGCCAGGTACCTCGAATAGTCGGCGGGCTTCACCGCCACCGTCAGCTCCTGCCCCGCTTCCAGCAACATGCTCGACCTCACAACCACCCCCCGACGAAGCTGATCAAAGTCCTGATGCCGAGCCTGATCCGCCTGGCCCGGCGCACGCCAAACAGCGGAAAGCCTCACTGCGCGAGAGCCCGATCGACTATCCCGCTCAGACCGATCGGCGGAGCAGCGGTCTGATCGAGCTGCGGCCAACCAGTCGGGGTCTTCTGAGCTCACGACTCCGCCATGACCTGTATCTCACGGCCCCTGTACGACGTAGCGCGCAACGCCAGGCGGCACATCCACCTGTCCGCCGCGTCGTCCTTCAGCTTCAGCTTGAAGGCGATGTCCTCTTCCCTCCCTCGATCCCCCTACCCTCCCTGGCCTCCCATCGCCCATCGCCTCCCGACCCTCCCTCGCTTGATTTAAAGGTGGTGTCCTCGCCCAGCACGAGCTCTCCTACTGGAGAGAGGGAGAAGGTGCCCTTCTCTGCAAGCTTGAAGGTGGAATCCTCCGCCTCCCCCAGAAGCGCCACGCGCTCGGCGATGCTGCCCTCGGGATGCTTGTAGTCGCTGGTGATGTCGTCGGCCCCCAGGTATCCGACTGCCTTCGTGATCACATACGTTCCTACTGCGTCGCGCTCCACCCTCCTCAGCTTGGTCTCGCCCTTGTCGTCGACGACGTAGTACCGAACGTCTGCGTTCACCTCCGCCAGGACGAAATCGAGGTCGTAATTCGACTCCGCTGCGGCGGCCCCCGCCTTCACGTCCACGAGCGAGGCCGGACCGCACTGCCACCTCCCCTCGCTCCTCTCCTGCGGGGTGGCGTCTATAGCCTGCCAGCCGCCCCGGCCTTCTGGGAGGTCTCGGCGGAGGAACCACACGTCGTTCCAAACGTGGAAGTTCCAGATGGAGTCGCCCCCCATCGACAGCTTCTCGCCCTTCGTGTCAAAGTACTTGTCGATCGCGCGGTTTGAATTGGTGTCGTGCGCGGAGTCGAAGCACGTCACGCTCCTGTCAGGGGGACGTAAGACCCGGGTACAGGGGACTCGGAAATCCCCGACGAGGTCGTCAAAAAAATGACGAGGCCGAGCCTGCATTTTGACGAGGCCTCCCGCTGCAGACATCCCACGAAACTCCTCCTCGTCAAAATCCGATGCGCGGTCGTCAAAAAACGATGGCGAACCCGCGTCCTGGCAAACCCGGGTCTTACGCTCCCCCGATCCTGGCTGGGATGCCGAGGCACCGGCAGACCGCGGTCAGCACCCCGCTGAAGACCCAGCACTGCCCGAACTTCACGGGGCCCGACTCTGCCCACTGCGTCAGGATCGAGGGGCTCCCAACCCAGGCCGTCGGGGCCTTGCCTGGAGGCCTCCCAATCCTCCTCCTCCTCCTCCTCCTCCTCCTCCTCCTCCTCCTCCTCCTCCTCCTCCTCCTCCTCCTCCCCCCTCCCTCCTCCTCCTCCTCCTCCTCCTCCCAAGTGGTAGAGGAAAAACGAACTATGCACATACACTGATTCTGGCCAGGCCCATCCTGAGCCCAGGATCGGTGCATACGCCCTCCTACCTTGGCCAGGAAGGCATATGCACCGATCCTGGGTCAAGGATGGGCCTTGCCAGGATCGGTGCATGTGCATAGTTCTCTTCGCCCGAAGTGGGATCCGAGTGGATGGGGCCCGAGGATCGCGCAGCATCGCCGATGCATCTGCGATGCATCGGCGACGTCGGCGACGCGTCGGCGCCGTCGGCGCGAGTAAGATCGGGCCCCACATCGAGCCGCATCGCCGATGCATCGGCGATGCGGCGCGATCCTCCGACACCATCCTCACAGACCCCATTTGGGAGGCTTGGCGCTGCCTCCCTCATAATCCCCAGACCAGTTGCCAACCAAGACTCCGCCATTGTCAAGCTGGTTCACCGCTGAGCTCAGGTGCCGGGCCATGAGCACCACGTTCCCGCGGTCGCCTGGGGGGTGGCCGAGACAAGACAAGCGCTTGATGCAGCCAGGCACCGGCAAAGCCCTGCGCTAGCGACACAAAGCGGCGCTGCACATTTTCTCGAACGATACCCCGAGACGACAACGGCAGGCGACATCTCTACCGCAACGCCAAGGGTTCTGCAGCAGAGGGGTCGGGCTGCCGCTCACCTGTGAACATCTCCACCAACTTCAGGCATGCGTCTAAGACGCCCTCCTCGTACTGCCCGAAGAACCATGCCCGCGGGCGGCGATAGTGGCTGGAGCCGACCCAGATTGCACCGTCGTCCTGCAGGCTGTGGCAATGGCGAGGCTGCCGCAACAGGAGACCTCGGACTGCCGAATCACCCCGGCAGCGCTTGCACCAGAGGGGCCCTCCCCTCAGACGACGAGACACCTCCGCCCTCGCTCGGCGCTTTTGCTTGTGCGGTGGGCGGCTTCAGTCCCACAGGGTCCCACCCCCCAGACCCCCGACGTAATGATTTTTTCATTACGTCGACCCCAGAGTTCTGGACCCCTTCCCCGGGACCGGTTTGTCATCCTGAGTCTTCTTTTGACGCTCCCGAAGCCCGGTGAGGGCCCCCAGAGGCCGAAAGTGGCGAAAAACCTCCCGTCATGACTTTTTCACTACTCGAGGGGGTCTGGGCCTCGGGGTCCCGCGCGCCAGGTCCCCGCAGAGGGCGGGGCCCCACCCCCGAACAGCCCGCGGCGCAGTTGTGGAGGAGGAGGAGGAGGAGGAGGAGGAGGAGGAGGAGGAGGAGGAGGAGGAGGAGGAGGAGGAGGAGGAGGAGGAGAGGAGGAGGAGGAGGAGGAGGAGGAGGAGGCGGAGGAGGAGGAGGAGGAGGAGGAGGAGGAGGAGGGGAGGAGGAGGAGGAGGAGGAGGAGGAGGAGGAGGAGGAGGGAGGGAGGAGGAGGAGGAGGGAGGAGGAGGAGGAGGAGGAGGAGGGAGGAGGAGGAGGAGGAGGAGGAGGGAGGAGGAGGAGGAGGAGGAGGAGGAGGAGGAGGAGAGGAGGAGGGAGGAGGTGGAGGAGGAGGAGGAGGAGGAGGAGGAGGAGGAGGAGGAGGAGAGGAAGGGGAGGAGGAGGAGGAGGAGGAGGAGGAGGAGGAGGAGGAGGAGGAGGAGGAGGAGGAGGAGGAGGAGGAGGAGGAGGAGATGGGGGGGGAGCCCGAGGCCCCAGGGGCTCGCACCCACACGATCCCACCCAGATGCGCGCCCCTGCAGATCCCACGAGAACCCTACCAATATGAAGGGGACCTGGGGCACACAAATAAATACACACAAATAAAATGATTCCCCATATTTTCCAATATTTTCTTGGTTTTTGTCTTCCCCCCATTTCTCATATTTTCCCATATTTTCCTGGGAATCGACGATTCATTGTGTCTGTGTGTGGTTTTTCCCCTCCTGACAAAAAAGGGGGGCCCCCGTCCTGGGATCCCAACCCAGCAGAGAATCCCCCCGCAGAGGGTCGCCCATCGGACCCCACCCGGAACAGGACGTGCTGGAGAGGGCCAACGTGCATGAGCCTGATGAGATCTATGAACAGAGGGCGCGTTTTGTCCAAACGTCGATCCCCAAACGTAGATACCTATACGCAAACAAAACATTACTCGTTGAACCTTGGCACGGACCTCCTGAATCCCACAGGTTTCATGAGGACTCAGAGCCTAAAGGATCCTCACCACTGCTGAATGTTCCTAAAGACATCGTCCCAGATCCAGATCAAAACCTGGACCAGCTGAGGATTCCTGGATCGCCCGAGCGGCCATCGGACACACAATGAACAACTTGTGTTTCCGACAACTGCTGGACGCTGGGTCAGCCGGGAGGCAATCGGAAATGCAATAAAAACGCTGTGCTGTCAGACATTGGATGGAAGCACAGCGCTTCATTTGGACGCTGGATCAGCCCAGCAGCATCGGAAACGCACGGAACATACACACACTGACACACACACACACTCTTTGTCGTCGAGGTCTTGCGCGCAGCGTGGGGTACGCAGGCAGCTGATGATTTGGAGCCTTTTTATGTTCCCGCTGCCCATGGGCTAGATTGCACAACGTTGAATGCATACCATAGATGGCACGGCATACGTTGCACCACGCAGATGTTGTATCACATGGGCCGTCCATCATACAAATCTATATATATACATATACACATACATACATACATACATACATACATACGTACATACATACATACATACATACATGCATGCATACATACATCCATCCATACATACATAAATGCATACATACATGCACACATGCATACATGCATACATGCATACATACATATATACATGCATGCATGCATGCATGCACACATTACATACATACATGCATACATTCATACATACATACATACATACATACATACATGCATACATACATCATACGTACGTACGTACATACATACACGCATACATACATACATACATACATACATACATACATACATACATACATACATACATACATACATACATATGTATACATACACACACATACATACATGCATACATACATTCATACATACATACATACATACACACATACATACATACATGCACGCATGCATACATGCATGCATGCATGCATGCATGCATTCATACATATATACAGACATGCATGCATACAACACATATACATGCATACATACATTCATGCATGCATACATACATGCATGCATGCATGCATGCATGCATACATACATACATGCATGCATGCATGCAATCATACATATATGCATACATGCATGCATGCATGCATGCATGCATACATGCATGCATGCATACACGCATGCATGCATACATATATATATAATATATATATATATATATATATATATATATATATACATACACACATACACACATACACTCCCGCGCAAGAGACCCCCGGGCGCCCGGGACCTCGAGCGCGCATCGGGGGACCGGGGCCACCGAGACCGCTCCCAGAGCACCCTGGAGGGGCCGTGGAGCCCAGACTGCAGGATCTTGGCCCCCCAAAGAATCAACGACCTTTCGAAGAATTAGACACGAACCATGCGTAGGCCCGGCGCATGGCGAGCTGCATCTCGCCGCGCCCAGCGCGCCCGACAGCCGGCAGGCCGCCGCTGCCTCCGGGACCTCGGGGGCGCCGAGCTCGTCGGCGTAGACCTGCCGCGCGGCCTCTTCGGCCGCTGCAGCAGCGGCCAACGGCGATCCCGCCTCCACTCGGCGTCAGGGGCCAGGCCCGCCCCGCGGCCCTCAGAACCAGTCGGCAGCGGGGATGCTGAAGCAGCGTTGCCGCCGGCGCCCGGCCCATCGGGGCGGCCCGGAGCGCGACCCAGACGGAGCGGTCGCACGGGATCCCCGCCGTCTTCTCCCAGGCGAACGAGCCGCTGAGCGCCGTGGGGCCACGCGCGGCGAAGATATCCCCCTGCTCGACGACGCCGAGGATGCCGAGCTTCAATGCGTGATCGGCGACTTCGTACCAAAGCTCGACCCTCTCGCAATTGACCCGCGCCCGCGGCGGCTCCTCGGGCAACTCGGCGGGCGGCCGCGCGACGCGAGAGGGGTCGAAGGGGCCGCTCCAAAATGCGGCCGTCGACGAACTCCCCAGCCTTGCCTTGAACTGCGCCGCATGCTCGGGGCCAGGGAGGCCAGGGGTGAGCTCTGCGAGGTGCATCGGCTCGAAACCGCGGTCGGCGCCTTCGGACCCCCCGGCGCCCGGAGACGCGACCCATGCTCGCGCGAGCGACAGGTCGGGGAGGGCCATCGGCAACGGGGCGCGCGACCTTGCCTGCGGCCCTCGACTCGCGGGATAGGCGGGAGGGCCCCCCTGCAAAAATGGCCCAGGCGACCAGGGCGCTGCCGGCGCAGGGAGACGGCGGCGACGCCTGGGCTCAGCAAGCGCGGCGCGCCCGAGCGGCAGTTGCCTTCCACGGCGACAGCGCAGACAAGCATGGACTCGGGCAGCGCCGCCGCCCTGCTTGCGGCGGGGGGCGGCCCTGCCGCCCCCTTGCACGCTGCGTCACTTCCCCGACGCGGGCCCCGTGGCCGCCGCGACTCTCGCCGGCGCGCTTCGGGCTGGCGTTTGTCCTCCCAGGACGCTGCGTTCGACGGTCGATCCTGCGCGGCGTCGTCCTCCAAAATGACGGCCCTCGTCGCCTTTGCGCCAGCGCGGGCTGCGTCCGCGGCGCAGGTGGCGAGGGGCTGGTCCCGGCGGAACCCGCGGGATTCTGGGCCGCCGGCCGCGCGCGAGGCGCGGGGGCCTGATCCCTGGACCGCTGGCCTGCTTGCCCCGCGGCGGCCCCCGCCCCCGGCCAGACCCCCACTAGCCTTCTTTCGGTTTCGAGAGCAGCTTCTGGAGGCGAAGCTCCCCGAGCTCGACTTTGCTTGCAAACTGCTCATCTCCAATGCGGAGGGCGAAGTGCTCTTTCGAGGGCGGGGTCTACTCCGGCCAGCGTGCCCTGGGCCATGTCTTATCCACCGAGAAGAGCTGGAGCGCTTTGACCGCTGGCCCAAGATGTCGAGGGCGCAAGACATCCTGCCACTGGGGATCGCATCTGACGCGTCGCACACCGTCGGCATCTCGCGGCAGACCTCGGCACCGATGAACTTAATTAGGTTCTCAAGGATGAGCGCGATCAGAAAAGATGCGAGACATATTGGTGGGAAGCCCACCGACAACTCGTCGCCGACCTGTGACGCCGAATGTTCGCGCATCTGGCCGATGGCCTGCTCGTGCGGGAGGCCCAGAAACCATGTGGCGACCTGGCGAAAGTGGCCTCGGCGGGCGGCGAGAGGGCGCGGCGTGCCGCCGTCCCCGCTGCCGCTCGAGGTCGACATGAGCGACTGCAGCAGGTCGGTCGAGCTGCCGCGGCGCGCCATTGCCTCGCACGTCCGCTGGGGCAGCGCGCCGTCGCCGCCGTCGCCGCCCACTGCCGCGGCGTCGAGGCCTGTGACATCGGGGCCGCTGCCGGGGCCCGGCTTCGCCGCATTCTCCGCCCGCGAATGAAGCGCCTCGCCGAGCGGGCGCTTGCCGCCGCAACCACCAGCCGCCGCCGCCGCAGGGCTCGCGCCTGCCGCGGAGCGGCCACACGCGGCGCCCTGCGCGAGGGGGCCGCGCAGCTGGCCCAGCCGCGCGCCGACGGCCTCCGCCGGGGAGCGAAGACGCGGCGTCGGCGACCAGGCGGGCGCCCGCCGCAGCGAGCGGCGAGCCTCGCTGGCGCCCAGGGGGCACCGGTACCGACAGGGGCGCGCCCTTGCTCCGCGAGGGCCGCGCGGCCCGCTCCTCGGCCCTGGCC